TCATTGCACTCAATGTATTTTTCAGCAAATAAATGCAAGACCAGATTTAAATATACAGAATTGTAGAGAATTCCAAGCGCTATCAGAATATGTGATCATTTTTGTAAAAGTATATTTTCGTAAGGAAAATATCTTAAAAATACTGTGTGCAACTATTTTTTTGCACGAGGATATGTATGAGCGATTCTGATGACTTTCGAACCATTCGACCAAAGCTAATGGATCTGCATGGTTCTCCGTTAATACTAAATCAAACTTTTGGAAGCTTATGCCATTTTATTCCTGACACTTTACACTATATATACCGCTAAGATTTCTTTTCTATCTTATTTCCTTAGCATACAGTAAGCAAAACACTTTGTGTTTTGGTTCTTTTCCCCTTCTTTTCTTAGTGGTTCTCACACGCTCTTTTTTCTTAATTAACATTTTTCTTCTTTTAAGGGAGAGCGGAATAAAACCTTTTTTGGTTTTTGTGCAGTATTTTATCTGCTCTGTCAATCTGCAGTCTTAGTTTTGCCTAATCGTTTTTAGTTTCTGTGAAAACTTCGATAAATTTGTGGTCCTCGAAAAGTTCAAAAATCGTGTCCCACCCCCTTTTGAGTCTAGTGCGCAGGCAATAAGCACTTTAAGTCAAATGTTTTTCCATGAAAAAACTCACCAAAGTAGGCACTATAGGTTGTTGAAAACCGCAAGTTACTCGCTTTTGTCGTTGTTGAGTAATTGCCATTTTACACGTCCAGTGCGGTGGCTTGTGACATACAATGTCCCACCCCCTTTTGACTATCTCCTGACCGAACTACATGGAATTAAGAACTCGTTTTTTTACAGTCTATGTCAAATGGGTAGCACAACTTATGCTGTAAATATCAAGGCTTTGGCTTATTTCTACAGGAAGATATTTGAAAAATACATCAAAATGTTCCACCCTTAACTTTTGTCCCATCCCCAAACATATCACTAGAAGTGTAATAGCTAACGTATAAAGCCTCAGACTATACGATTATACGTATTTTGACACCCTGAATCGGATAGCCGACTCAGTTTTCTGAAAATCAGCTCAGCAAAGGATTTCCAGAAAACTTGTACTAAGATTTTTTCCAATAACGAAGAGCTAAGTTATAGCAGCCTCTCATAAAGTAAATTGCACCAAGAGTATTAACAGTTCGAGCTAAATCTAATGACCATTTGGATATATTTTTTCTTATATATCTTCAGCAAGCTTTGAATAATAAAATCCTTTATTAAATTCATTTTTTCGATAATAATTTACTCCCATATGAACATAGATGCTGGCAATAATTTTTAAATTTTTCGTATCATTATTTTTAGTGTTTAATGCATTGTAACTTTCTAATAAATTTTGAAAATAAGTTTGAGATTCTTTGTACTTGCCTATGTCGGATAAAAGCCATCCCAATAACACGATAATATTTGTATCTTTCGTTTGTTCTTTGAGATATATTTTATATTCATCAGCTAGTTGTGTTCCGTGTGTGGTTGGTATCACTTGGATAACTCAAACATTATTTGTTTCACTGTAATAAATATGAGAAAGTCGAAAAGCCGAACCAATATTAAATATAATTTCTTCTTCATCTGGAAAATGACTAAATTTTGCTATATCTGCAAATATTAGCGTTTTATTCATTTCAATATTTATATCAATCTCAAATAAAACTGATTCAATGTCAGATTTGTTTATTGGTTTTGTAGCAAAAGCCAATGCAACATCAATACTTTGACCTGCTGGTTAAAAACCATCTAATGATATCAAACTACCAGTACTATTTTTTAATTTATTAAATTCTTTAATCGATATTGTTTGTCCACGATAAAATTTTAATATTGATTTATTTAAATTTATGTCAATATTTTCGGTACGTAAAGCTTTATTCACTAATCTATGGACAAAACTTTGTTTAGTATACCACTTAATTACTTGATCAGGTGAATAACAATTATGAAATTGTTCAATTTTAATTAATTCTGTTTTGTTATCTTTATAGTATGAACGACATTCATTAAGCATTTGATTTTTTGCTTCTGATGTTGAAGGCTTCTGATGTTCTGATGTATTCACTAACGCTTCTATTAACATTTCAAACCATAAAAACGATGCTTGTTTTTTTGTTAAATCTCTTGTAGTTTTTTTCATATTTATCTGAGTTAAAAATATTCCATGTTGTTATTCGTTTTCTATTAAAATTGCATAAGCTTTCAAACTGATAATCATTGATTTATAATCCTGAAATCTATCAGTTATTTTTGGATATTGTCTAATTAATATTTGATGGTATTCGATTAAATTTATATCGAACGAAAACAAAAAAATATACTCCATTTCATCTAGTAAATGAATAGTTGGCAAAATAGTATAGTTGTCCGATAATACTAAGATTATTCTCTCATTTTTATTAGTTTGTAAATATTCAATGCATTTATTTGATTCGGTGAACAATCGTACATAATGATTTATTTCACGAAGTAAACTTATATCCGGTAAATGTTCACATTTAATATCATGCAACCAGATCAATGCTCTGTTTTCTTTGTTTTCAACATGTATCTGTCGCTAAAAACACTCGGTCTAAATTTACGATGAAGTTAAAGGACGGCAGCGGATAAGGATCAAAATTTTTCCTGAACTAATCTGACCAAAAGACACATATTCTGAATCAGCGTCGAATTCTGAACAAACCTGTCGATTCAGTTTCCCGAAATATTGAATCTGGGTTTTCTCGAAAATTTCGCGCCCTGAGGGGGACCTCAGAAAGACAGGGAGAATTTATTCCTCAAAATTGAACAAAAGATACACTATTCGGCGCAGGATTGTATGTTGAGTTCGAATCACAGGTCAAACACCGAAAAAAACAAGTCAAATGCGAAAAAAACGACATTTACTGGCAAATGGTCAAAATTGGTCACCACGGTTTTCGGCCTTCCTTGGGCTCAGCCAATCAGCTTATAACCTTCAAAGTTAGTGTTTTAAAACTGCCGCAACGCCAGCTTTCAGATGGTATGTCGAGGAGTTGGAAAGAATGTAATTTTCACGGAAAAAAAGGTCAAAATGTGAAAAAACTACGAAAAAATGCGGTAGTTTGGAAAAAAATGCTTCCTCTAAATTTTTCCTTCTAATCATATTTCAATTCCTCATTCAAACCTGAGTAGAACTGCATGTGTTTTGAACTGCATCTCGGTCTCTCTGAGGCGCTATATCCAAAATACTAGTCAAAAACCGCGTCTTTTCGTAGTTTTTACACATTTTGACCTATTTTTCCGTGAAAACTAGGGCAGACGGAAGGCAGTATATTTAACGTCATATAATTTTGTCTGCACTAGTGAGTAATTCGATTAATTAGGGCTTGCGCGAGAGTCGTTAAATGTTGAATATCTTTGTGTGGCAACACTATAATAAAGACATCATGTGCAGAAAAGCAGTACAACACTTAGAATGGGGAGCCATTGATAAACGCTAAGAATAAAAGTGACTGTTGAGTTGATTCCACTCCATCTACACGTATATCTACAAAAAGAACAAAGAAAAGAATATTTTTTTGTTATTTGTTAAAAAGTATCAAATGTCTTTTATGTCTGTTGTTGGTTTTTCCTTATAAAAAATTGACTTTGACACAAAATAAGAAAACAAAAGCTGTAGAAAGTGAGTATGAATGAAAGAAAAACACGTTCAAGTTTTCTACCACGGCAAATCCGAAAACGATAATAAGTGCTGTTTATATTGTAAAAGAAACATATTTAAAAAAAGATCTACATTTTCTTTTCCAAAGGCAAGAACGTTTATTATCTATTTTCCAAAAGCATAACAGTCTACTGTATGTAACTCAGTTTAGACTGTTAACTAAACAATAAAAAAACGTAAAAGTAAAATTTCTATTGAAACATATAGAGAATGTTTACATGATATTTACACATACGAGCTTTTGAGAAGAAAACGGGGAGAAACTATAGCTGACTTTATACTATTTTTCATTTGAAAGTGTTTTTCTGCCGTGTTCAACACATTAATTCTATTTGACATTCTACTACTAATAGTAGAACTGAAACCATTTGATTTACGGTGTGATCCTCGTTCGCATTCTACCAGTAAAACTGGTTGTCGAAATTTTTCATAATAGTCAA